AAGGGTTGTACAAACGCAAGGCACTGAGCAAACAGACCAAAGTGTGCTGTCCAGGTGGGGGCAGGGGGCGGGAGGATGAGGCTCGGCACCTGGGGAGTGCTCTGCACCCCTCGAACGACCTGGCACCCTCCCCTAAGGACATCACCCTCTGGGAGCCCAATGCTGGCCGTCAGGTAGCCCCCTGGTATGGATTCCCCTGGCCCTCTGACCCCACCCCCCTCTGAGGAAAGGATGGCCCATCGGCAGACCTCTTGGGCTCTGTGAAGGAGGCCTATCTGCCAACCCATCCTGGCCTGTGGGGAAAGGCAATTTTGCCAATTTGGGACCCCTCTCCACCAACTGAGGTCACAGCTTACAGGGCCTGTACATCTTTATACCACAACCCATGCAACACTAGACCCACTGGGACTCAGAAAGTCCCCAAAGTAAGGTTTCCATGACAACACATCCCCCCAATTCCCAGGTTATCATGGAGCAATTATCCACGGCCCCACCGCAGTTGTAGACTTGATTCAGATGCTCCTAAAGGCGACCCTGAAGACTCCTTTGTCCCCCAAACTGGAATATGGGTGGGAGACACAAACAGAAAGTGCCATGTGCTGCTAGCTCGGCGTCTGGGGAACTGCTCCTGACAGTTCTGCTTTTTAAAGGCCTGGGCTGTGTCAGGACGAGACTCAGCTCCGCTCAGCAGAAGCTGCGGCCAGCCCTAGCTCATTGCCCAAGAGCTCCAGGCCTGCCCTTGCTGACCTGCTGCTCAGCCCCCTTTCAGGGTCTGCTCTGGAGGAGGAGCAGCGTGGGAGCCCTCATCTGAGGCCTCAGGAGACAGGAGGATGCCCACGGGAAGCCTCAGGCCAGGAGCAGCCGTGGAGGGGAAGGAGAGGACTTAAAAAGGCTTCAGAAAAACAAAAAACAAAAAAACAAGTTTGATCCCCAGCCCTCCTCGGCATGTGCAGGAGGCAACCAATCGATGGGTCTCTCTCACACTGATGTTTCACTCTCTGTCTCTCCCCTCCTTTCCACTCTTTCTAAAAATCAATGGAAAAATATCCTCAGGTGAGAATTAACAAAACAAAACAAAACAAAACAGCACTTCAGGAACAGTGCTTAGGGAGTTGGCCTGTGTAACCAGAAGGGGGTAGGGTCAGCGGGATGTGGGGTGAGAGGTGTGTCAGCCCCCTCCCCCGCTTCCCACAGAAGATAGTGATTAAGCAGCTTCTTGGTGCCTCTCAAATCAAACTTTTTCTGTAAAAGGCCAGACAGAAAACATTTTCGGTTTTACAGGCCATACAGTCTCTGTACAACTACTTCATTCTGCAGCCACTGCACAAAAGAAATGTGGGCGTGGCTGTGTACCAATAACACTGTTCACAACACCCACTTCCCTGGAGTGGCCTCCATTTGGCCTGGGTCGCAGTGTGCTGGTCTGTGTGTTCTAGACCCAAGAATGGGGACCTTAGAGGACCAGCCACCAGCCCCCCTTAAATAAGTCCCTGCTACCCAAACACTTTACTAGTCAGTGCCGATCAGATGGTTTTCTTGCCTGGTCACCATCTGGCCTGTGTGGCCTTTTGCCTCCCAGTGGAAGTGAGACGTGGATAGGAACACCCCCGCTGCGTGCGTCTGGCCTCCACGGAGACCTAGAGGTTGCTGAAAGCAATGGACCCTCCCGCAGAAAAATGCACCCGCGGAGCATGAACACACTCTGTTTGCATATAATCTCAAGGGAGAGCACAGGCCTCCTCGGGCTTACTCACAGACCACACAGAAGCCTGAAAACCCTGGTTCAGACCCCTTGCTCACTCAGAAAGAGCTAATGGTTTTGCATATGAAAGGTAATCCTGTAGAAAAATAGACACAAAGCAGCACTTCACAGAATACAAACCACCACAAATAAGAGGTGAAAAGATGCTCCGTCTTACTAACCATTAAAGAAAAAAAATGTTACATCACGGAATATCATGTTTTACCAGATCAGATGGGCTAGTGTTTGAAAGACTAATGACAGGGTACTGGAAGGGGTGTGGGGAAAAAGGCACGCTCATACGCGAGGGTAGGATGGTATCATGTACAGACAGTATAAGCTTTTGGAAAGACCACTGACAGTATCCGTTAACATTTCAAACACACTGATCCTGCGGCCCAGCAATCCCACTTCCAGGAAGTTATTTTACAGAAATATATGTACAGGAACGTTCACTTCAGCAGCATCATAAATCAGAAAAATTGGAAACAAACCCAAGTGTCCATTAGTAGGAAGCTGGTTAAATAAATTATGGTATATCCGTATTATAGAATTACATGGAACTCTTTAATAATGAGGTAGATCTCGAGAGCTTAAAATAATAAGGTAGATTTCTAAGCATTGGCAGGAAAAGATGTAAAAAAATACATTGTTAAGTGAAAGGCAAGTTGTGCCTGGCCAGTGTGGCTCGATGGTTGAGCATCGACCTATGAACCAGGAAGTCACGGTTCGATTCCCGGTCAGGGCACATGCCTGAGTTGCAGGCTCAGTGCCTGGGGTGGGGAGTGCAGGAGGCAGCCGATCAATGATTCTCTCTTATCATTGATGTTTCTATCTCCCTCTCCCTTCCTCTCTGAAATCAATAAAAACATATTTTTTTAAAAAAGAAAGCCCTAGCCGGTTTGGCTCAGTGGATAGAGCGTTGGCCTGTGGACTGAAGGGTCCCAGGATCGATTCTGGCCAAGGGCACATGCCTGGGTTGCGGGCTCGATCCCCAGTCAGGGGCGTGCAAGAGGCAGCCAATCAATGATTCTCTCTCATCATTGATGTTTCTATCTCTCTCTCCCTCTTCCTTCCTCTCTGAAATCAATAAAGAAATATATTTTAAAAAGAAAAAGAAAAAGGGCAAGTTGTAACAGTATTTCTTTTTATTTCTTTAATGCATATTTTATTGATTTTTTACAGAGAGGAAGGGAGAGGGACAGAGAGTTAGAAACATCGATGGAAGAGAAACATCCGTCAGCTGCCTCCTGCACACCTACTGGGGATGTGCCCACAACCAAGGTACATGACCTTGACTGGAATCGAACCTGTGACCCTTCAGTCCGCAGGCCGATGCTCTATCCACTGAGCCAAACCGGTTAGGGCAACAGTATTTCTTTTTAAAAAAGAATAACATTGGTATCTGCGGATTCTTTTTAAATACTGAAGAGATACATTCTAAAATGATAAAGGTGGGCTTATAAAATTTTACAGTCTATAGTTTATACTTAGAAAATATTAACTTTTAAAAATAAGAACATGTTTGTTTTATAATTTAAAAAAGAAAACAGATCTTTATGAGCTTAATAGCCTCCTAAAGTTTTCTTAGACAACTATAAGTTCATTTTAAAGGCTTTCTTAGAGAGGATTCGTGGCATGGTGGTTTTTATCCATTTCTCTTATGCTTTATCACAGTAAAGCATCTTTCTGCATCTCAGAGCATACACTCCTCAAGTTCAAGGACCATCTCTTTCTCTTATCCCAAAATTCAGAACTGCCATGACACAGGCATAGAGTGACTAACATGAGGGGTGCTGCCAGGTTTTTAATTTTCCTTTTGATGAAAGAGTTGATAATTTTCATGCTGTCAAAGAACAAACAGAACCATGACTCCTGTTACACAGTTTACACAACTTAGTGGAATTTGGCAGTTCTAACAGATTTCCTACAGTTTCGACATTTATTGACCTCTGGGTATTTGAGTGGGGGGAGGGAACATATTTCTTTTCTTTAATCTACCTGGTTAAAAAATCAAAATCAAAATACACTAAAGGGTACAAACCCAATCTCTCTCATACCACCGGAGCAGGGCAACCAGAGTCCGACCTGTGTGTTCTACCCCCTCCCCGAGCACACCGCATACATGGCCCTGTGCCATGGCCTTCCTCACCTAAAGAGATGCCACTGAATATTCCATTCCCAAGACCCAGACCCAGACAGTTGTCCTTCCCACCAGGGTAAAGTTAACAAGGCCAAGTGTAGGAAGGGTGACCAGAGGACATACTGGGCCCGTGGCCTCTGGCTCACAGCCTGCAGACACGGGGTCACGGAGGTGCCAGCACCTATTCAAGCTTCCTTGCAGGAAGACCAGCAGACCCCGGTCCCGCACAGCTAAACAAGGGCCCCCCAACTCCTGACTCCTTTGTGGAAAGAGAAATCAGAAACCAGAGTATCCTACGAAAGGTGCTGGTAGGTATTATATCATAAAAACTTTTTCTCGGGGAAACTGAGGCAGGCCAGGCTTTCCTGTTGGACGGAAATTTCTTTGAAGAGCCTATTATTCTCACTTCTTTCCCAATGGCCAGCTCTGAAAGGCACCCTTGCCGGACTGGGCGAGCCTGTGGAGGGCTTCCTTCTTCCTCCCAGGAAAGACATGTTTGGCTTTCTTTCCTTCAGCCTGAGCCTTACTGCAGTCTCTCTCACCTTCCGTGGCGCCCTGGTGCTACCGATCAGGGGGTGCTCAGCACCCTGAGAAAACCTCTCCTTTCTTAGAGGGGCTCTGTGTCCTGGCATCCCAGAAACCAAGGAGAGGTGGCCTGTGTGCTCCCCTGAGCTTTTCATTCAGTTCTGGACAAAGGCGATGGTTAGGGGTGGGGAGATTCCGAGCGAGGGAGGTTTGTTTTTAGGTTGCCCTGTTCGCCAGGGCTGTCATGGAAAATAAGAGAAAGAAAGTGGGCGGTAGCTTTTTTCCTCCCTGCTCCCGTCTTCCCTGGACACATGGCTAGCAAGCTGGCTTCCTGAGTGCCTAAGCCACGGCCAGCAGGCGGGGATGGCCTCTCTGAGAGGTGCTCTGCTGTGCTGCAGGACCCCCGCCTCCCCCTGGGGAGGCCTCGCTGGCTGGCTTAGCTCTCCAGCCGTTTCACAGCAGCAGCCCTCTGTGCTGGGATGTCCAGGCACACGCAGGCGAGTGGAAGACAAGGAAATTGAAGCCAATAAAAGCTGCCTCAAAGCCACAAGGCGGTGACTGAACTGAGGCCTTAAAGAAATGGATACTCACTGTTAATGAGGTGAACGTCATGCACATCCCGCCAAAGCCGTTCAGAGACAGGGCGATGAAGATGAGCACAGAGAGAGCTGCAGGAAAACAAGACACACAATCAGGCACCACAGCTGGGCTTCAGGGAGGCCAGGGCTTGGGCTCTTACAAAAGGGGCCTCCCGCCCTAGCTGGTCTGGCTCAGTGGATAGAGCGTCGGCCTGACGACTGAGGGGTCCAGGGTTCAATTCCGGTCAAGGGCACAAGCCCGGGTTGTGGGCTCGATCCCCAGTGTGGGGCGTGAGGAGGCAGCCAATCAGTGATGTCTCTCTCTCTTTCTCTCCCTTTCCCTTCCTCTCTGATCAATAAAAATACATCTTTTAAAAAGGTGCGTCCCCACCCTCTGTTCTCCATTAACCTGAGCAGCAAGTGAGAAGCAGCTTCACTGAAACCAAAAATACAGGTGCCCCCAAATCAATAGATGGTGAAATAAATTCAAGTCCTATTTTGGTGTTTGTTCAAAACTTCCTTGAAGCAACAGCTTCACCTGAACAAGGTTGGGGACCAGGTGGCTTCTAAGCTCCAGGGACACAGCTGACAATTCTGCACACACCGCTGCAGCTGGCCTAGTTCTTGGAACTTGCCTCTCAGGTTGGATCAATGAGGCCACGCGGACTGGCCTGGCGTGGTGATGAGATGGGAGTTTCACTCACCCTGGGACCTTCCCTCAGACATCGGTCTGGGGCGATTGTTCTTTTACCCAGCCACCCATTTGAGATAAGCAACTGGGTAAAGGCCTAACAAGCATCCCCTTTAACGTGAGCAGTGAGCACCAGGCCTGGCACAGCGTCCTAGAGCAGATGGCACGCTCCCCAGTCCCTGACAAAAGGGTGGAGGAAAAGTGTCCTCACAATTTGGGTTACTTGCTCCATATGCAATCAGCAAGCAGGAGACAGCAAAGCAGGCACTAAAAACAAGCAGAGATAATACATTATTTCTTCTTATTGTTGTTGTTAATATTGTTATTTGGGAGTATTTACTATGTATTAGATATTTCTGGAAATTTTATATGCACTATTTTATTTAATTTTACAATTCTAAGGAGTATAATTGGCCCATTTTACTGATGAGAGGAAAAAAAAGAACTGATTTCTCCAAAGTCTCCAACTAGTAAGTGCCGCAGCAGGAATTCAAGCCTGGAAGCCACATCTGGCAAACACCACGCTGCACTGCCCCTTCCCGTCCCCAGACCGGAGGGGGCCAAGGCTCTGAAGTGAGAGTGGATTGTGCCCTCTCTCGCTCGCTCAGCCAGGGGATGGACGGGACACACTGGGCACAGGCGAGATGAGTGGCAGCTCCTGAATCCCCCTCAAAAAGTGAATGAAACTGTTCCACCACCCATTCCCTCTCTGGTCACAGGGCTCGCTCACTGCAAGCCACTGCCCTTCGAGATGATCATTCGAAGGGGACGGGCTAGGGGAGACCGTGACCTGAGAGGGTGGACTGACCCTGAGCCTGGCACACTGGAACTTTACAGACCAGAGACACCCCCCCGCCCCCCCGAGGGTACACCTGATGATCCACACAGGTGCCAATGGTAGGGAAATATTGGGACTTCTATTTTACAACTTTTAATCTCAGCCGTTTTAATTTATATTTTTGTATATGTGTCACAAAGCACATAAAAAACTAAGAATGGCATATGTATAGATAATTGACAACTCCATGTGCTTATATTAGAAGTCATTTTGCAAAACCTTTTTTTCTGATAGAGGTAGAAGGTCATAAAGAGTGTGGAAGCCAGTGTTCTTAATGACAAGAACTCCAGACCTTCCCAGGCAGGCCTGGGGCCCTGGGCCTTTTGTATGCAATACTGGCACATGACAAGGATCAGAGCACCTACTGATTTGGTGGCAGACGGGGTAGAAACTCTGAGTGGGCATTGAGGGAGCTCTGCAGTGTACCTGGTAGCAGGCACCAGGATTCCTACAGTGGGGAACTCAGCCCAGGGTCCCACACACTTACCTGCCTAGCAGCCTGAGCTTCCTTGGGCCATACTTGTCCATGACGATGCCCAGGGGCAGGGTGATGGCACTGAGCAGGAAGGAGCCCACGGTGAAGGCCAAGTTTAGCATCTCATCTTGGGCCTTACAGCTGAGCCAACCATTCATCCAGCTCACCTCCTCCTCCTGCTCTGATTCACCCGCTGTGCCGTTGGTGACATTCTCTGTGAGTGCGGAGAGAGAGAAACCTGATCACAGGGTCATGGCAGGGGTTCCCAAAGATCAGAGGGGCAGGTGCACATTCAGTCACCCCACTGGGAACGGCGGGGTTGTCTCTGGGCCTCCTGAGGACTCAGGCTTGGATGTCCATGTGCCAAGCCCCCTGGAATGATAATGCGAAGGTTCTTAACTTTGGAGGGGACGTAGATCCTTTGGTGAACCCAACAGAGAAAGCTATGCTCCTGTGACTCAGAAAATGCACACAAAGTCTTACCCACAATTTCAGGGGCTTCATGTGTCCCTTGAAGCACCCATGAGCCCCAGGTTGGGATTCGCGTTCTAGTCACCTATTCCCAGTCTAGAGTGACCGCAGGCCCCAGCCTTGGCAGTGAGGCCCCAGGGTGGCGAGAGCCTTCTCGGCAGCTCTGTCCACGGAAACAGACTGCAGCCAGTACAGAGGAGCAACCCTAGGCCACCTGGGAAGGGCAGCTGCTGGTCTCACTGCAACGCCCTGGCGTTCCCCTCGGTCAGTTCGGAGCAGGGCCCCCTTTACTGCTAAGCACAGTGACTTCTCAAACATGCAGCCCATATGCTACCGCTGCCCCGCACATTTTCACGCTGTCAATCTCCACACACACTATGTTGTGGAGCACCTTGGGAAAGGATTTTTAAAAATAGGCCCAATTTATTTGCTTTCACTTGTTGAGACCTTTTACTTTCTAATATTCCTCCCTAGAGTCACCGCGTTTGCTGTCCCTGAGGCCACACCTGTACTATAACCCTGGCCCTTAATGGCCCTCTCCAAAGTCCACCAGCAGCAAGACAACAAGAATAGGAAGGGAAAAGTGCTGCGGCAGCTGAAGGCAGGAGGGTCGGGGGCAGGTCCAGAACACAGCTGAGGACTCGCTCCTCGCTGGGACTGCTAGTTAGATGCTGACTAATCCTGCAGAAAGAGGAGCGGCCTGATAACACTGGGAGAGACAAGGAAATGCCTCTCTCCAGAGAACTGCGAGCCTCCAGATTGCGGCCCTCTGGCGCTGGCGCCAGGGCTGTAAAGCTGAGGTCTGCAAAGGCCTGCCCAGGCCTCTCAGGGCTGCCCCAAGGTCATGGAAAAGGATGCACTTTGGGTGAATCATGCCATATGCCAACCTCTAACCAAAGAGGCCTCCTGGGGGCACGCACATCGAGGGTGAAGTGCTGGGTTCCCATTTTGGTTCCTCCACTTCCTACTCATATGACCTTGAAGAAATGACTTATGCTTACTCTTCCTCAGTTTTTTAAATCTGTAGAATGGGCATAATCTAACAATTAGTATCTACCTCCTAGAATTTTAGGGAAGACAGGAAAATCCAGATAACATTCTAGAACTCACACAAGCAGAGAAAGTGCTCAATAAGTAATGCTGAAAGTTATTATAATTACTATGATTGGGGGCTCAGGATGGGGGTAGTGGTGCAACCGACTGGCAGCAGAGCCCGGCACAGTAACTCACAGCAGAGTTCCATAACTGTGCATGTGGTAGCATGAATATGTGTCTAGTCTCCACTGGGCTGGGGGGCCTGGAGGGCAGGGACTGCGTTCTGGTCACCTGAGTCCCCAGCACCTTACTCAGGTCCTTTACAGAGCAGTTGTTTACTGAATTAATGAAAACAATGGACTCAGATCACAATGGCCAAAAGGATCAAGAAAGAAAAAAGCAAACAGGATAAGTGGATACAAATTGAAGATAGAGGGGATTTAAGGAGATTAAAGCTACAATGTTAACCTCCTGAAGCTACAGAAACAAAACCTAACAAGCCAGTCCAGCAGGTGTGGCTCAATGATTGAGTGGTGACCTATGAACCAGGAGGTCATGGTTTGATCCCCAGTCAGGACACATGCTCGGGTTGTGGGCTCGATCCCCATTGGGAGCCGTGCAAGAGGCAGCTAATCAACGATTCTTTCTCATCATTGATGTTTCTCTCTCTCCCTTCCTCTCTGAAATCAATAAAAACATATTTTAAAGAAAACAACCTCCTAACAAGCCAGATTCCCACCCCACTCGGCCCGCTGCTGGCCAGAGAGGCCCCACCACACTGGCAACCAAAACAGCCAACCAGGGTCACCTGAGCCCATTGGGATCCACTCAGCACAGGTCACACACACTGACGTAGCCGCTCGCCCCTGTGGGGCAGCTTCTGGGAAGGCAGAGCTGCTTCACAGGTTGGCACTGGCTTCAGGTGTCAGCTCTGCCAGCAGCAACAGGAACTGGAGGTGAAATGGGACGACAGCCACTTCCAGGTTGGCGTGCAGATATGAGCAAACCAGCACAGGTGTGACCCAGTGGATGGGTGGGGAGGGTCCAGGATTGCTGGCCTGTGAGACCTGACTGTGGCCACGCAGGGTCTAGAGCCCACTGCTGCACTCAGGGCTGCAGGGTCTGCTGCTGTGGGCAGGGAGCCCTGCCTGGACGGGACACCAGCAAACGAGGCAGCACTCTCTCTGAGTGAGGCACCAGGGTGCCCTACCCACAGGTTCCCCAGAGAGGAACCGCAGGGGACCCTTAAATCCAGGACTGCACTCACCGAGAGAAAAGATAAAAGCCCAAAGCATAATACCCAAGGCAGTCTCCCTAATTTGCTATAATGGGGGATGGGTGCAAACATCTGAATAGTTGAGAGATCTGGTCACCCCTGTAACTAGGCAGGGGGCTAATGAGGAGACAGGTCAGAGCAGAAGGAAGGGTCTCTGTCCCTCCCATCTTTCATTCTAGAGCCACTCCATACGGAGGCAGGGACCTTACTTGGAGCTGCCAGCCTTCTCTGCTTAGACAAGTCCCTGCCAAGGGCCGCCTGGCCCTCAGCCCTCCCGCCTCAGGCAGTGATGTCCAGCAGCACACGAGCCAGGAGTGGGTGGAGGTGTCTGAGTGGCCCCTTGTCTGCCTATGGAGCAACATGAGCGTGCCCCTCAACCTAGCGGGACCTAAACCATCCTTTAGCCCAGAAGCTTTGTTGGCAGTAAAACTTCCCACACGAATAAACAGCAGGTGCCCAAACACACAGTCACCCCCAGGCTGCTTCTCTTCCTTGGCTCCTCTTCCACCTGGACCATTGTGGGCCAGGAGAAACACCAATCAGACAAGCACCCAGGAAGCGTCAAGGCCCTGGGGTGCCCCTCTTCTCCCAGCCATAGCCCAGCCCTCACCAGCCCAGCCTGCTCTGCGCCTCACTTGCACCTGTTTAGTAAACAGGTGACTGCAGTGGGAGGCCAGAGCGGCCTGATCCAGCCCAGCTGGGGAAGGTGAACCAAGAGGACAGGACAGGAATTGGTGTGGCCAGAGTATGCTGAGAACAGGCGTAAGGCTGCTTAGGAGGAAACCCAGGGGCGGGGAAGAGAGAACAATGGCTGTACTGTTTGGCCTCACAGAACACTCACATACACAATCTTTACAGAGAAGGCAGGGGAGAAAAGAGGGTGCTGTGACCCACTCGGGCTGCTCTGACATCTCTGGGTCAAAGAGGGGGCTCCCCCCATCCCAGGGAAATAAAGGGGGTGGGAGCCTCCAGAACCCATCCCAGGGAAATAAAGGGGGTGGGAGCCTCCAGAATAGGGCCCTGGGCTGGGCTGGAGCAGCCCCTCTGAATTCCTGAGCAGCCCCCTTCTGACTGGCTGCTCACTGAGGACCCCCTCCCTGGGGGCAGGCCCCTGGCCCCAGGACCTCCCCTCTTTCTCAAATCCTTCGTCTATCCGGCAACAGGAAGCAGCATCTCCAGTGCAGCAGGGGGGATGTAGGTGAGAGGTCAGCCTCAGACACAGAGCAAACAAGAGGCAGGACAGACAGTCAGAGGGCCCTGCTGGTGGGCCAGGGCCAACGCCTTCGCTGTGGTCACAGAGTGCCTGTGTGTGCTGGCTGCTGTGTTCAATGCTATTCATTCCTGTGGCACTTAGCAGCCTCCCACCCCCACCCGTATCCCAGGAATTTCAGAACAGGTTAAGTGTCTTGGCCAAGGTCTCACAGCCAATACCCGGGGAAACTGGACTTGAATCCAGGCTGTCAGACTCCAAAGCTCCTGCTTTTAACCTTCAGGCTGTGCTGATGCTGTACTGCCTGGGTCAGAGGCAGTTCTGAGAAAATGCTGGGAGCACAAGGCTGTCACAGTTGGGGCAATACCAGGTGGACCTAATGTCACCTGGTGAGAATGGGACTGTCCCCAAGACCTTCCCACGGGGTCCCAGAAAGCCAACCCAGCTGGACAGGACCTGAAGAGAACACCAAGAAACCAGGAGTGGTGAGCAGCGGATGTGGGGGAGAAAAATTAGGTCATGAAATGGGAAGGAGGAGGGCAGGGTTGGTGGGGAGGGCTAAGGGCACCAGCTCCTCTCTGTGACACATCCTAAGGCTGTGGTCACCAGCCTTTAGACTTTCTTACCCATTGCTACTTTTTTATTTTTTTTAAGAAGTCACTGCTTTTTTAAAAAATGTATATTTTATTGATTTTTTTACAGAGATGAAGGGAGAGGGATAGAGAGTTAGAAACATCGATGAGAGAGAAACATCGATCAGCTGCCTCCTGCACACCTCCTACTGGGGATGTGCCCACAACCAAAGTACATGCCCTTGACCAGAATCGAACCTGGGACTTTTCAGTCCACAGGCAGACGCTCTATCCACTGAGCCAAACCGGTTAGAGCCCATTGCTACTTTTTTTAAAAAAATCCAAAATACACAGCAATAAATGTGAAAGGGTGAGTTTTCAAAAGCTATCAACCACTGACCCTTGGGTGTAGGAGACCATTTCATGCCTCAGAAGGGATTGGCATGAAATATTCAAAGTGATGAAAAGCAAGGACCTACAACCAAGACTACTTTCCCAGCAAGGCCATCATTTAAAATTAAAGGAGAAATAAAAAACTTCCCAGACAAGAAAAAGCTAAAGGAGTTTGTTAACAGAAAGAGAGAGAGAAATATAGATCAGTTGCCTCCCATATGTGCCCTACCGGGGATTGGACCCGAATCTAGGTATGTGCCCTGACCAGGAATCAAACCCAC